GATACTCCTTCTCCTGATGATGTTCCAAACTTTTTACCTTCAGCATCCCAGTGGTGATCACATAAATAGGTTTATACTGTTTTGTGCTCTCTCCTCTTATTTATCACAGATACGTAGAAACTTTTTAGACTTATAATGCTATGGGCATTCATAAGCTCTTGGGAAGCATTTCCCATTGCTTTTCACGTTTCATAAATTTTATACATGAATATATATATGTCTAAATATTTCTTATTTATTGTGATTAGTATTTTCTTTTATCAGTGAATTTTTTACCTATGAAAACACCAGACATTTTATTTCCTGAAGATATCTTTGCTCAGGATATCTTTTTTTTTTTTTTTTTTTTGCTGTTCCAGATCTTTCTTACTATAGATTCTTTTCTTTTCTTTTCTTTTTGTAAACATTTAGTGGTATAGATTTAATTCAGTAAACTGCAGAAGGACATGAGTGCTAATAAACGTGGTCTTATTTTCTGAATATTTGTGCGCTCAAAACTGGCATATTTAATTTGAATGCTGCTGGTTGTTCTCCATAAATACTTCTCAGGATTCAAAATCAAGGTTAATCTTGGGAAGTTAATTTACTTCTTCCAGGTTGAAGGGAGCCATAGAATGAGTTCATCTGATATGAGGAAATAATCCTATTCCACAGTTACATATTTGCAATTTTTGTGATTTAAATGATATTATTTTAAAAGTGTCAGCTTGTCCAAGGCAGGGCAAAATAAAGTTTTCTCTGAAATTACACTTGTGGTTACCAGGTGGCAGCATTGCAGTGATAATAATTCTTTCTAGCATTTTCTACATTATACTTATTTATTTAGGTAATCACTTTTAATAACAAAACTGCAATGCAAATGAATTATCTGGTAGTGTTGTCTGGTCCAAAATAGATCCATTTGTGTGGTGGATCGTGAAGAGCGTTTATCGGTGCACCACAAAACTCGGTGATCTTTTAGAAAGTGCATGAAGTTTCCTCCTGTATTCAAATGAAACTGATGTAAAGCATAACGAATCAGAATATAATAAACAGCTTTGGAACTTTGCTGTAAAAGTGAATGAGAGGGAAAACGATGTCCTTTCTTGTCAAAGGCATTATCTTACAAGGCTGAAATTATTTTTCCCTGCCTCAGACTGTGACTTTCCTCATGCGTTTCAAAATCAGGTTTAAAAATGACAGTAATAAATGGCCTGTAGTGAAAGACCATGTGATTTATCTTCCTGATTTTTAATAGCAGCAGCACAAAACACTAAAAATTTGTTGTTTATAGACAAAGTTAGCAGCACATCCTTCTAGTAAAACTACCTAATTTCCCATGGAAAGATTATTTTTTTGGATAGATACAGCTTTGCCCATATTTAGCTATTCAGGCAGAAAATACATATATTGCCCATCTACTTGGGGCTTGTTCTGCTTTTAGTTTCTGTTATTTTGATTATTTCTCATCTCTCTTTCTGTTTATTTGTCTATCTGCCTCTTAGTTTTGTGAAGATAACTGGCTCATTTATCCAGCAGATTCTTAGGAAGAGATAGATATAATTAACTTGCAGCTCCAGCAGCTGCAGATCTGTAAGGACAGTTGAATTATCTGTATGCAGAGCACAAGTCCAACACTGAAGTGCTACAACCCAGCCAGTGTTTCCTTTGTGCTTTTGAAACGCAGAGCTCGGAGGAGCACTGTGCAGGGTGCTTGACCTCCCTGGTGGAACTACAGTCCACAAGACTTTGCCAGGTCAGGGTAATGCTGACCCTGCTTGACTGAGCTTGCTTCTGCCCACCCATTTTATGTCCCATGTTTTGAATCTTTCTGGATATTTGACAGTTAAGCAACTGTCAGGGATGTACTTTTGACTGGCTTCATACTACTCAATATGGATCTGATTTGCTCCGTATTCTGGATTGTAGAAAAAGATGCAATTTACACATGCTAAGATTCTTAATCATCTTCTGAAAGTGCTGTGACTGTATCAGTGGTGGTCCAGGTAGGATTCAGAAGGATTTTCTCTGCATTATCTCTGGATTGTTGTGGGTCTCAGGCTGGATCCATATGAACTAAAAACAAACAGTATGTATGTCTTGTGTTCCAGATAACATTTCTCTCCAGCACATGAATGAAGGGGAGAGAATTGGACCTTCAGAAAGGGAAGGGGACAGACCACCTAGAGTGGGACAAGGAAATAAAAACAGGTGATGGAAGGGTGTGGGTTGTGAGAAGAAATATGAGGTTTGAGACTGTGGGAGGGGTTTGAAATAGATCTCAAAAGACAGGAATATTGAATCGTAGTATAACTGAGTACAAACTGGAGGGAGGAGAACTGGGAGTAAGTAGGCGATGAGACTGAAACTGTAAGAGGATGTGGGATGGCAAAGCTATAAATATCTGAACAAATACAAGGGCTACTCTGAAAATAATGCCTCCTCTTTTAATATTTTGGCCCACGATGTAGGAGATAGACTTTGGTGATATGGTGATACGGCAGTAGAGATTGAAACTTCCAGTCAATATTCTGTCATATTTTGTTGTTGTATGACAGATGGAAGCAGAGGGGCAGTCTGAAAAAGATGGTTTCTGATATGGAAGTGTATATGAAACAAAGATGTGAAATTGAATTATGGAAAAAAAATTTACCCATTGATATTCATTGATGCTGCTGAATAGTTAGGAACACCAAGCAGTGAATATGAGCACAGTGAGGTGGTGCGAATTTGTTTCAGCAGGGGCGACAGTGTAATGAAAGACAAGTCACTTTCCCAACAACCATGTACAGCTGTCACACCATGAAATGAAGATCGTCTCATTGAGTTCATCTGTGCAAATTGTCAGATTATAACCAGAGAACTGTATACAGTGCTGAATATCAGTTTTAACGCATTGGAAACAATGGTGGCAGCATTGTAATATCACAAAGTTTGCACCATGAATGCTCACATAAGAACAGAAAGAACAGCACATGCAAGTTTGTCAGAACCTATTGAACCAATATGAGGCTGAGTGACAATTCCCTGGATCACATTATTATTAGTTATGAGATATGGTGTCAACAGTAGGAGCCAGAATTAAAATGACAGTCCTTGGCGGCTGAAGTGATGTGCACGGTCTTTTGGGACAGGGAAGGGATGATTCTTCTGGATTTCCTAGAACCTGGGCAAATCATCAGTTCTGCCAACTACGTCATGATGCTGACTAACCTGAATTCTCAGACTTCCAGAGTCAGACCAGAGAGGAAAACAACTTTCCTCTTGCAACATGATGATGCTGGGCCCCATATCAGTTTGAAGACCGTAGAGCACATTGCCAATCTTGATTGGGCTGTCCTACCACATCAAATGTATAATCCAAACTTGACAACTTCTGACTTTCACATGATCAGGCTGATGAAATATGAACTGCATGGACAACATTCTCCTAGTAAAAAAGTGACCACTGCAGCTGTGAAACAGTGGATCACCTCCACTGGTGCAGATTTTTATGAGGATGGTGTGCAGGCTCTTGTTGATTGCTGGCAAAAATGAATAGCTAATGGTGGTGACTATGCTGAAAAACTGCACTTTGTAGCTGAGAATTTGCTCTGTTGAATGGCGTTATTGTGCTTTTTGTATCTGTTGTAGTTTCAATTGAAATAAATAGGAGAAATCAATTTTGGAGCAAATTATGTATATTGGAATTGAGAACCATTTGCATAATGAGAAGATGATTGTGGCAAGTGTGAGAAAAGTTGACCTGACAGGAAGAAATCAGACTAGCTGGACACTGAAGTAAAACAGCAACTAAATATTGAGGTGTTCAGTGGCTTGGTCTAAAGAAGGAGAAAGCCTAAAAGAACAGATGGGATTTGGTAACTTGGAATGGCTGAGAAAGGAACAGGGTACAGTGTTGTGGATGTGAAAAACTGAAAGAGGGCATGTCTAAAGAAGAATTTTAGAATTTTATTTCTAACTGTAAGTGCTCAAAATTCAGAAAGTTAGTGAGTTAAACCTAAAAAACCCAAACTGATTTGTATACACAAATGGCCAGCTCAGCATCCAGACATTCTTTGCTTTGCATAAAGCAAAGGTGTCAGGGTATTCTGCACGAAGGCATTGGTGGTCAAAGGGCTTCTCACAGGACGAGCACTAAAGCATTGCTACTGAGGAGTTGAAACAAATACTCAGAGGGAGCCCTTAAAGCACAGAAACTGCATTCCTTCCTACCACAAAGCCGCTTCCCCAATCCTTTGCATAACCTTGGTCTCCTCAGCACCTCCTCCCACCCTTCCTTCTGCTCTACCACCTCCTGCTAAAGCTTATCTGCTCTACCACATCCTCATTCTCCTCCTGTCCATAGAGTGGTTTTCTTATTCTCACGTAGTGCTTTGGCTCCCCAGTAGTAAAAAGTAATACTGTGGGGAAGTGAAGGCATAAAGAAGGGGGATGTGGCTGTAAGAATGGAGGGAGTGGAAAGAGACAGAATGGAAAGATAATTGCTCTGAGAAACTTGATCTAATAGGCCTGTTTTGGGTATGGGCTTGGATGAAATCATGTCCAGAGGTCCCTTCCAAAACAAGTTCTCTGCGCTTCTCTGTGGTGATCTGAGATGTTGTGTGGGAAATAAATGGGGCTAGATGACTTATGAGAAAGAGAGACATAGATGAGTTATGAGAAACAATATAAAGATGAATATATTCAGCCTACTGCTGTATCCATCTTCTTTGAAAGAAGTTTACATCTCCCAGCTCTTGGAATTGGACTCTGATGACCTGAGCTGCATGCAGACCTCCCTAATATCACAGGCTCAACTGAACCAACAAAATTGAAACATGCAAATTCGCTGGGGAGGAAGGATGAAACTTAGTACTAGCTATGCTACAGTTGCCTCAAAGAGTAATGTTCTTTGTTTGTAAGACTAGTACTTTCATTGGAGTATTTTTTGTTTATTATAAGCTTTACGTTTTTAGTGTTTTAGTTATTTAGATGTCAGTGTTCAGATGTCAGACACCTCTCCTGTAATAAAAGGTCAAGGGAGTTGGGACTGTTTAGCTTGAGGAAGAGAAGGCTCCAGGAAGAACTTATTGCGATCTTCCAGTACTTGAAAGGAACTTACAAGCGGGAAGGGCACCAACTTTTTACAAAGATAGTGACAAGCACAGCAAATGTTGGACTGTGGGCAACATTTTCCTAGCAACAGTGCAGTCACAGCAGCTGTGAAACAGTGGGTCACCTCCACTACTGCAGTTTTTTATGTGCATGGTATACAGGCTCCTGTTCATTGCTTGTGAAAATGCACACCTAATGATGGCTGTAACTATGTTTAAAAAAAAAAAAAGTGTTTTGTAGCTGAGAATGTGCTCTATTGAATAGTGTTATTGTGCTCTTTGTATCCATTGTACTCTCCATGGAAACAAAAGGGACGCGTTACTTTTGGAGCACCTTATGTACTTAAGAGTGGGATTCACAAGGAGCAGGTACTGTTCTGGGTTTGTTAAAGAAAAGTATTGATTAATGATGTTGTTATGTATGATGAACTCTCTGCTATGAATTTACAATATGTGATGAAAGTATAGGCAAAATCAGGGGAATAAACAAACTGAACTGAATTGTCATATGATAGAAGTACTTGTTATGATGTTGGCACTCTATTATGAATTAAGCTTGATGATTATGAAGTGACTTTAGTTGTGCAGAGATTTGAACAAGGGGATAAAAATCTAGAATGATATGGCAAAAGAAAAAGATAAAAGGATACAGGTAGAAAAAGTAAGCTGGGGCAGGAGGTAACTGAGGGAAAAAAATCTGGAAGGTACAGAGCACAAACCCTGTTGAAATACAAAATGAGGATAAGTACAGATTATAATACTGTGGCAATATATGAATCTAAAAGTGAGGCTATGGAGATAAAAGGCAATGAAGGAGAAAGTAATAAAATATCAAATGTATTAGGGTTTGCATATATATGTATTTTTCAGGAAATTTTTGAGATGTGATAAATGTGGATCATCAAGTGGGAAATAAATAAGAATACCTTTAACTGCAGTTCTTCCTGAGTAGCAACACAGAAGTTGACATATCTAAAATTCTCTTAGACTGCATAGAGCTGAAAAAGGTAGCTCTCTGTGTATTGTTCTAAGCAGAATATCCCTTTGTACAACCATTGCAATTTTTCTATATTCTATAGCTTGAAGGGGAGCGTAAAGTATTTTGTAGGGCTCAGCATTTTGAATTTATCTCAGTAAAGATTTTCTGAATAATATTGTTTCAGGAAAATGGATTAGGAACTGCTCAGCGGCTAATAAAGGTGATAGATTTCTTTAAAGGAGGTAGTAGACATCATGTATTAGTTGAAAATCCAACTGTAGTTTCTGTAGTTTGAAAGCTTGCTTTGAAAGATATGATAATTTCTAACAGCAGTGGACTGCAAAATGTTCCAATAAATTTGTAATAATCCTAGGTCATCTGTACAGATTGATCTGACTTATTTATATTTTTCCAGCACCTCTTATTGTCTGTCAATTGGCCTCTTTCAGACAAAATTGGTATTCATACTTCTCTGGTCCCAAACAAATGATTCTGTCACATTTATTTTTGGTATTTTTTCTCCAAAATAGCCAAAGAGTTTGCTTCTATGTGAAACTAAATGGTGCTAATCAGTCTGATTAGACAGCCTGCTATCCAGACCAGTTTGATTGGATGAGATACAAAGGGTACTGTGGTGGAGAAACATCATTTTGTCTCCTTCACAGCTGCTACACATGATTATTCAGACTCTTTATGCTGCAGATGAAAAACCTAACCAGAAACAGATGGGGATTAAATATTTTTAGAAACAGTATTGCAAAGTATTAACAAGAGGAAGAGAAAAAGTTTGCAACTTTGGAGTCTAACGAATTTTTGAACCTGCTTGTTAAAGCATATTCAGTATTGTTTGTATAAATATTGTGATTCTTTCTTGTGGACAGAACCAGTGTAAAATGCAAATTTTTCAGATCCAGCACAAGCTGCTCTAAAACAATATTTTAAAGTAACGTACAGGTCACAAATCACTCGTTTAAAGTTTCTTATCTTTTCTGATTATTTTAATTTTGTATAATTTCGTCATCGTGTAATTGTCTTCAGTGTCAGATGCTAGAAAAACAGAAAATTTGGACTCTCAGATCTAAGAAGGCTTTTTGACAAGCTTGAAATACATTTAGTGACATCCTAAACATCTTCATGATTAACTCTTTAGTTAGGTCTGTTCAGTTATCATAGTTTTCCTGCTAGAGGAAATGATTCTTCTCTGAATTACAGTGTCAAAAAATGATCAATTCTGCTTTTTCAACTGTGCTTTTGATAAGGACATTTTAATGAAGAATTAATCCTTCAGTTTTCTAGAATATAAAACCTGCATGTGTGATAAGGGTAAATGTCTTTTATCTCTTTATAAAAGCAAGCCAATGATGCAGAGTTGTCAAATGTACTAAGCAGAAAAGTCCTGATTTTCTAGCTCAGGATGAAGAAACCTCAAATGTGTCAGGGTTGAATATTGCTCTAGTCCTCTGAGGGCCACTTCAGGGTCTTGAGCTTCCATTCTAGAATTCCAATATGGATGCAGGTGGAGTTTATCCAAATCCTAGTTAGTGAGTATTTCATTATGTCCTATGGGAAGTAAATCATTACAGTATGATTTGAGAAAAAAAAAACTCTTAAATGGTTTCATAGGTTTTTTGAACCTATCACACGCTAACTGAATATAAAATATTTGACAAGGAGAATGTATTATTTTTTGATGAAGTACTGAAGTCCTCACCCATTTTTAACTCCCAGACAATTGCTGACACTGACTGATAGATTTCTTGTGTTCAAGAACTGTGAAGTAGAATTGTGAAGTATACACTGTGAAATTTGTAAAGTAAGAGCTGCTTTCTCACTGTAGCTCAGTGATAACACCAGACTTTTCACTTCCACAGTGAGATTGTTACTGTATGTAAAGGCGACTACATTTAGATGTATCTTAGAGATCTCATGTCTGTAAGAAGTTTGTCACTTTCAACTCTTTCTGGTTTCATTGAGGAGTAAGTTCTGAAAACCTCCAAGTTAGCTATGTTACCAAATTAAGCCTTTAACACTGTTGTGTTTGACAAGTTCTACTATTATTTAATATTAAGTAAAACCTATTTCTTAATTTTATGCCTATCTCATTTCATCTAATCTGTTTTGGAATTCAGTTTCTCCTGGACAGTTTATTATTTCCTGTTACGTTATCAAAACATATACTTTTTTTCTGTTGGTCTTGATCAGAGGTTAAGAACATATACAGGAGTCATGAGTACAAATTACTCACAAATTATTTTTCTGGAATTTCAGATACGTACTGGAGTTGGGGTGAATATTTTGTTTGTTTATTTGAAAGTGGTTTCCAACTGTGTATCAAATATATTGTAACACCATACTTGTAGAAATGGCCAAAAGAAAAAAAAGAAAGGTTCATTAATTTTAGTCATTATGGCATTTCCTGATTTCTGAGTTGTTAATCACAGTTGGGATATGCTAAATAACATAAAAGTGATAATTTTTCTCAGTGTTTGTTGGCATAGGTTTTCTTAAGCATTTTCAGTTGCGCAGGGTAAGTTTTCCATTGTATCTCAGGTGTTGAATTCTCATTTATTTTGCATTTTGAGTGTAATTTGTACAATGCAATTGTTATTAGTTACTATTGTTTTACAGTAGGGATAAATTCCACAATTAAAAGCTTAAAAACCTCTTCAGGCAGAAATCTGCAAAAACATGATTAAAGACATCTCATTTTCCAGAAAGGTTCATAAACCAAAGTCAGGATACCACTGTGGATAAGCAAGCAACAGGAAAGAACAAGAGTAGGAAAATGACTGAAACCACAGAAGAACATGATTAATTCTTATGTCCTAAACCGGATAGAGCCATAAATGCCCTTCTTGGTATAAGTGAACAGAAGTTATTCAATTGGCAGAGCTTCATTTGCACGGGGAAAAAGAAAAGAAAAAAAAAAGATGTATCTATATATTCTAAAATTGAATTTAGTACTGTAGCTTCTTTCACAGTAATGAATGTCACCTATTATCCTTGGTTCTTAATTTGATAGCACTGATGATGTCTTAAAGTAAAAGTAGGGGCAAAGGGAGAGAGCCCTGTAGCCCAGTGTGCTTTATGTTTAGGTACCAAATGTGAGCTGTATCTGCATGATTGAATGCACCATGAGATTTGTCTGTGAAGTAATCATTTATTATGCAAACACTAGGACTTAATTATATCAAATTTTATTAAATATGTACATGTTATTACTATTTAAAAGAACCAGTATCATTCTCAGATCTGCAAACTTCTCTCTAGCTTTGAGAGCTGCGGCAGAGCCTGTATTAATGCTAGTCTGAAAGCTGTAAGCTAATGCAGTGTCACTGTGAGTGACACAGCACCACCCTTGAAGGCAAAACTTCATCAGCTGTATTCTTTAGTTACAATACAATCAAAAAAATCTTTCACGACAATAATATATTTGTACATTGCTTATATTTCCCAACTCTGTCCAATTTGTAGGATGGAAGCAAAGAATTCTGTCATGTTTAGGATTCTCAGATGCTGAAAAAGGGAATTCGTACCAGAAACATCTGATGGTAAAGGCCCTTTAGAGGCAGAGAAGGGGGCACAGGAAGCAAAGAGAAAGACGCGTCCATCTCCTCTGCTGATTTTCAGCCAGGAGGTCTTAATATTTTTCTTGCTTAGGGTCCCGTGGCCTCAGTGAGGATAATGCTTCCTATCAGTGACCCCCCTTCCCATCACCTCTCCACTAAACTGGTAGGTCAGCTTCTTCTTGACCTTTTTGACCTCCCCTGTCTTGCCGTAGTTTCTCAAAGCCCGTGCCATCTTCTGGTAGGTCATTTTCTTGCGATTGCCCTTCTGTATTCCCCAGCGATGTGCCAATGCTTCTTTGTGTTTGGAGGAGAACTGGAAAGTACCTTTTTCTTTATCTACCCACCAGATGCTGTCCTTCATGTCTCCACTGCGAAGAAGGTCCAGAAGGAACTGATACAGACGAATCTTTTTCTTGCTGCCTGCAAGAGAGAAGAAAGGCAGTGGAACATTACTATTATTGTGTAGGGTCTGATGGAACAGGAGAATTTGCCAGTCGTGTATTTCTTCAATTTGTTGTATTTATAAGAAGAGACAGTGTTGCACCATAAAGACATAAAGTGGATTGGTATGCCAAGAAGAAAAACTTGAGAATAAGAAATTTCAAAGACCTAACCTTTGTTATAATTTGAAAATACTTGAAAAACATTATTAGTTTGAAACCAATCTGAAACTAATTTGGACAGGCTATACAAGTACCGAGCCATCAGAGCTCAACATTCTTAAAAATCAGTTCCTTAAGCTTCTTGTCTTGTTTTTCACTTCTGTTAGAGGAAAATGGAGTAGAAATGGCAAAACCTGGGGAGAAGCCTGAATACACAAA